AACGAGGCGGTGTTTTTTTTCAATGTATGCTTCAGACACGGGTCACGACGAGGCGTTCCCCATAGCGCCCCCTAGAGGACGCAGTTCGAAGTTCCCATGAAAGGGAACTTAAAGCACTGTTTATTTCATTTGTATCTTTATTCTATTGTATTTACTTGTGCTATTCTTTATCATTTTTTGTTTTCATTTTATTACTAAGTTTACTTGCTTATTTTAGTTAAAATATCATATCAAAGTCATAATTTTGGCATCATGGCAACACTACGCGCTGTCAGAATATTTCTCCCTGTAATAATTGTGAGGTTGTAATGTTTACAGATGGTATGTTAGGTAATATCAGTAAATTCTGCATCACCACTTTACTCTCTAATGTGCATTTAATGAGACATTATGTCAATTTACTCACTTATCTGTGTAATATAGTAGGTTATCATTGTTATATTCCATATGAATATAACTATATATATATTAGGGATATGCCGGTATGAAATTTTCATGTTGCGATTAATTGCTAATGCTTTTATCACGGTATACACTCATTTGTAAGTCGCATATCTCTTTTATGGTGAAGGTTTAGGTTGTATTTATACTATTTATGTGTTTTATTCACTGTAGATCCTCTTTTAGTGGCTTATTGAGTTCCTTTGTTTCAGCCAAGGCACAGAGATGGCGATAAACAGCATAGCAAAGCCATTCCTTAGTGTCAGGAGAGGCAAAAACATGCAGTTCTGTTGAATAATTGATCACTGGTTCATTGGATGGCTGACAGTCAGCCAATCATTAGACTCACCCTGTGCCAAGGGATCCTTGTGGAACACTGACGAAACACTTGCGGTGATTATAGGGAGTTTTATGAGCCTAGCAAATTCAAGTTTACAGAATTGATCAAATGGAAGTTTTGGAACAGTGAATATGGGACACCAGTTCAGAACTGTGCCATAGACTTTGAACTTCTTACACTGATGTATTATTTGTGTATAAGACAAATTTTCATATCTTTAGAGCTTGGAAGTGTGGTTGACCTACTTGCAGAATCTAGTTATACAAAATTTTAAGCATGGAAAATTATTTAGGGCTCTGCAATGAATATGAGCAACTGGACATTATCAATCTCTATGGCCTCTGTTTTGAATATTAATATTAAATAATAATTAAATAATTAATATTATAAATGCATTTAGCATTTAGAATTATTTTACATTTAAAACAGAAAAAAATATTGCATGGATTTCAGTTCCCAACACTGCAATCCATTCTCTTCAGTTTTCAATTTAAGATCGTTTTATTTTAATTGATGTAAAATTACCAAAATGACAACTATTATTAACTATTATTTATTATTTAAAAGTGGTGGTACGCGAGGACTGGATTTGAGAAACACTGCTCTAGATGATGCAGGCAAATAGGTCCTTAATGCCATTTACAAGCTATCACATCATCACTTTATGGCTCAAGCTGATTGGTCTCTGTTTCATCTTCAGCCAATGAGCTTTCTTGCTTAACATTTCAATTGTTTGGTGTAATAAAGTCTTGCAGAAACCCTCCACCTCCCCCAGTTCCACCAGTATAGATCTGCTATGGGTAATTTAATGTATGCTATTTGTGCAGCTACAGTATGTCACAGCAACATTTACATGCTCACAGCAGCTTTTCTGTGGATGCATTAGCAATAGCAAGTCTCTGTAATGCATCTTTGCTGAATAAAAGTACAAAGTACAAAAAACTGAATAGATTGTTGGAAATTTGGCAAAAATGATTGTTCCCATCTGTCTCTAGGACATTGACATTTAGAGATACATTTTGATCCATTTAACCCTCAATGTAGTATGGTGTTGTGGCTTTTCCTGACCTGATATTGTCTCTGGATAGTTGCTGAAATGGATAATTCTAAAGATTCAGCATATGCTGCTTTGTGTATTAGCATAGGTCAGCAGCCATCATTCCTTCATTTTTGGCTCTTCTCTCAATCCCTTCTTCTCTGTCAGCCACTGCAGAGGCATAATTAGCATTTGTGTTTGAGCAAATTTGCTGCAGTATTGCAAAAAGTGGCCCATTTTACTTATGAACAGCTCCATGTCATGTCTCCTGGACATACATTTGGCTGTCAGATGTTGGGCAGGCAGATTTTCTGTGCGGAGATGATGCACTCCACAGGTGGTTTATCTCTTTGTCTTTTCCCCACTATGAATAAACTGACATGTTCCAAGGCAACTACGAGGCAAAGATCAACTTATTAGCTGCCCACCAGCACGGATAAAGTGTCAGTCAAAGCCTGCAGTCTTCACTTTCACCATTATCCTTGTTATTGACTTGAAATCCATCTCCTTTGATTACTGATGCCTGATTACCTGACTCTCATTTCTCAAAGGCCTTGTGTAGTTGTATGGTTGATGAGGAAAAGCCACTTTTGGTGTCTCGCTCTGATCAAGCACACAGTGATGTGTTAATAGATGAGTCGGAGAGCTGCTAAGTGGGATGATGGTTTTAGAAAGGAATCATGAAGGAGCATGAGCAGCTCTTTCTGGGATCAATTTTCCAGACGTGCAGGTCAGGCATCATGGCTGTATTTGCAGCTAGGCTTAATGAGGTACTGAGCAATGCCAGAGAGTGCAGTCCTCCATAGAGTATATACTGAGGACAAAAAAAAAAAAAAAAACTTCTGCATTCAAAATAACCCCAGCATTGCAGTATACGAGGGCTGGGAATTAGGGCCGTCACAATTTGTTTTAAAGGGGTCATATGATGCGATTTCAATTTTTCCTTTCTCTTTGGAGTGTTGTTACAAGCTCTTGGTGCATAAAGAAGATCTGTAAAGTTGCAAAGACTAAAGTCTCAAATCCAAAGAGATATTCTTTATAACAGTTAAGAGTTAACCACGCCTAGCTAAAACGGCTCGTTCTAACACGCCCCCACATGTCTACGTCACTATGTGGGAAGATTTGCATAACGCCGCCCAAATGTTCACGCAAAGAAAGAAGGTGTAACTTTTATTCTCGCTGTAGTATTGTTGCCGCCGCCATGTTGTGAAGAGCTGTGTGTTTCGTTGTGAAAGCGAAACTACTTTGTTTGGTCTTCCAAAAGAGGACGATATCCGCTTCGTCATGCCTGGAGCTGATCCGTGCTGGTCGCTGAGGGAATACATCAACTTAGTGCTGTGGATCGCCGGATCGGCTTTCACCGTGGACGAAGCGGAGTCCAGCCCGGGGTCGTCACATGTGGTTGCCGCTCCTTCGTCGAATCCGCCGGCTGCGCCGTTCTCAAGCCCGCCGCCTCTGCTGACTCTAGCCCGGCCTCAGCTCACGCTAGGCCGCGGCTTCTGCTCACGCTAGGCTGCCGTGTGTTTCGTTGTGAAAGCGAAACTACTTTGTTTGGTCTTCCAAAAGAGGACACGACTAGAAAATCTACGCGTTTCAGAAAGGCGGGGCATAGAGGAGAAACAATAATGTACAGTATGTGGAAAATAATGTGGTTTTTTTTTTACTTTAAACTGCATAAACACATTTCATTACACCAAATACACAAAATAATGTTCTTTTTAGCAGCATCATATGACCCCTTTAATGTTAGCGTGGGCCAATCTAGTCTTGGCTTGTTTTTGTTTTTTTGCTGTTCTATTCTAGCGCTGTCACTAAAACAGGTGTTATTCCTTATGATTTGTCAATTTCAGTGATATCCTTAAGGTAGTATTTGTGATTTATGCATGGTATTCAAAAAATAATTGCTTATGGGGTTGGTCAGATTTAAAAAAAAAAATGTTTTTAAAAGAAGTCTCTTATGCTCATCTGCATTTATTTGAAGTACAGTAACAACAATTCTATTTTTTTTTTAAATAACTTTTCTTTTGGAATATGTTTTAACAGCATCCATTACTCCAGATTACTTAATTTTGCAGCATCCATTACTCCAGACTTTAGTCTTACATGATCCTTCAGAAATCATTCTAATATACTGATTTGGTGCTCAAGTAATATTTCTCCTTATCAGTGTTGAAAACAGTTGTGCTGCATAAGGATTCTTTGATGTACAAAAAGTTCGAAAGAACAGTTTTGTTTTTTTGTACCAGTGTAAAAGTAATAACTTCCACATGTAACACATCCTTTCAGGTAATAAAAGTATTAATTAGAAA